GGAGATAACAGAGAAATTACAAAATAGGTGGGGTCAATAAAAAATCTTCTCAAGAACCACTGGAAAAGCTGAAACTTTTGTGGAAGTGTAGATTCTAAATTGTTCCTTTTTTTATCATGACTTCCAGGGGTATGGCAGGGGGAATTCAAGTTTTACATTGAAATACATAGGATCTTCTTAAGAACTACTGGGTCAGAAAAGCTGAAGCTTACCTGGAAGCATGCTGGAATAGTGTGGATTCTAAATTCTTCAAATCATGAACCCATGGTGGGTAGACATGGCCACAATAGAGAATCGAAGTTTTGAATCTAATTTTATTGAAAAAATCTTTTTAAGAACCACTTGGCCAGCTGAAAAAGCTGAAAATTATGTTGAAGCAATCTGGAACAATGTAGATTCTAAATTCTTAAAATCATGATACCAGGGGTAGGGTGGGGTCATACCGGTAATAGGTATTACAAGGGGGAATATAGTAAAGAAAAGCATGACCAAAGTTACTCAGGTGAGCAATGTGGCCCATGGGCATCTTGTTAGTGTGAGGCATCTAACACAGCTTCCATCTAGGAGTCTACAGGCCCAGGACCGCACTTGGCTCGGGTTGTAGAATCTTCATCTCACTTCTCGAGTTCCTGGTGGTTCCTATATTATTCTAGAAGAGTTTTCTCCTATTTTTCATCCTTTAGGGACAAAAAATAAAATTTGATGCACTGGGATATAAAAAATATAATTGCAAATAGGCATTTTTTGTAAATTTTATTCAATTTCATTAACGTTTAGTTGTCTGAAACATCTTTCTCAACAATTTAAGCCAATCAAATTTATGTGAATTAAAGATTCAATCCACAGTGAAATTTACATTCAAGTTTGATCAAATCATACAAAGGGGGTTTTGCTGGGGATTGGAGGCCACAATCAAAATTTCATATACCTGGTAGAAATATATCTCGGAAAAAATTTCTCTATAAAAGAACAGATTTTAGATTTAAATCTGTTCAAATCATGACCCCTAGGGTAGGTGTACGTTTTACAAGTGAGTCATGTGATAAAATTACTCCAATGTGGACAAAATATTTAATTTTGAACATATATACATGTATTTCATGCTTGATTTCAGTATGCATATATGTAAGATAAAAAAAAAAGTATTTTGTCAAAAGTATATTTAAATATTTCGTTTTCTTTTAGCTTTCATCCATTATAATAACTTCAGGAGTTCCAACGTATGCCAATCTTTGGGAAGAGGAGCCATTTTTCCATGTGTAATGACTTTCACACTTTGATTGATTAATGATGATGTATATTATTGCATAACTCCAGTGATGGACACAAACTAGCTAACAAACTTGGATTAATCAATAACAGTGGATATATTCTTGGATAACTTCAGTGATGGACACAAACTAGCTAACAAACTTGGATTGATTAATAACGGTGGAAATATTCTTGGATAATTTCAGTGTCAGATGAACACAAACTACTAGCTAACAAACTTGGATTGATTCATAACGGTGGATATATTCTTTGATAACTCCAGTGATGGACACAAACTAGCTAACAATCTTGGATTGATTACCAGGTAATAACGGTGGATATATTCTTGGATAATTGATATGATGGACACAAACTGATAGCGAACAAACTTGGATTGATTAATAATGATGGATATTCTTGGCAAACTGATATGATGGACACAAAGTAGCAAACATTTTTGTGAGAAACAGTGGAAAAGTTCTACATTTATTCAACATTGATTGACCAATTAATGCAATTAAAAAATAATCTTTTAAGAAATATAAAATGTGAGTAATACTGTCAGGTCAGATATCTTATTAAAGGGAGACTACTTAAGCAGGCCACTGTTTGAGAAACATATACTGCTCGTATAACTTTTTTGTAGAGCTCAAATCCCAAAAAATATTAATGCTTGAAATATTATGTATTTATAGTCAGATAACATCATGCAATATTTAATTTTTTTTCTTTCATAATTTCTAATAAAGTTTTTCAATAAGACACATTTATTATATATAAGATTACTGGTGCTTGCAGCACTCCCAGGTATTGTCAATTGAAATTAAATTGAACTAATGGTATTAATTTTGATTGACTGGATATCAGCACATTCAGAGAAAGTTTTCGTGCTATTTTTCTGGAGATTTGGATTCTCCCATTACAAAGTTAGTTTATTTTGATCTTTATATTTCTGTCAGCTAATGAAAATTATTTGCCTTTGTTAGTAAAATACTTTTGAGATACAAATTATTAAATGTCACAAAGATGGAAACACATGACCAACTATTTTACAGACTTTTTATTCATTGATGAAGGATAAGATAAGGTGTTCTAGTGTTAGAGGATTATGGAAAGAAATGACCAGGCAATTTTATAGCTAACTAGGCTATCAAAGTATTTTTACATTCACATTTTTATAACCTCCCCTCCCCTGCTTGAGAAGTGGGAGGGTATTTAGTAATCAGGATGTTCTTCCACCTGTTACACTTTGAGGTACCCATCTCTTATCTGCAATTCACTGAGTTCACTAAATGATAAAGTAAACTAGAAGGTGCACATTGGCATTATGTATGAAAGAATCTGTGAAAGTCTCATTAAATTTTATTCAGTAGTATGAGAGGAGTTGCGGATAAGAGATGGATAAGTGTAACAGACTGACATCACGATCATTATAGCCTCCCACTTTTTAAGTGGGGGAGGGGGGTATGAAATTGGAAAAGAGAGGGGGCAATACCTGGGACATCCCCCAGGTACCTGTGGATTTATGAGATATTTATATTGTACGCTAATTTACAGCACATTTCAAGCCTCAGACTGTCTTACTTGCAGCCAAAATAATTTTTATACCCCATGCAACTAGTTGCGTGAGGTATAATGTTTTTGACCCGTCCGTCAGAGTGTCAGTCAGTCAGTCCTTTTTTTTTTGTCAGCGCAACTCCTCATAAACCGCTGAACAAAATTTCGTCAAACTTTGCAGGTATTTAGGACACAATGTGTAGATGTGCATATTACCAGGGAATTCTGATTCCATTATTTTTTCCGGGAAATTCCGCACTTTTTAACTTAGGCATTTGGCCATACCTTGAATATAGAGATGAACAGTTTGTCAGTGCAACTAGTCATAAACCATGGCACAGAATTTCTTCAAACTTTGCAGATATTTAGAACACAATATGTAGCTGTGCATATTACCAGGAAATTCCGATTCCTTATTTTTTCTGGGAATTTCAGCACTAAAAACTTAAGTTTTTGGCCATACCTTTTACATAGAGATGAACAGTTTGTCAGCGCTCCTCATAAACCGCTGCACAGAATTTCGTCAAACTTTGCAGGTATTTAGGACACAATGTGTAGATGTGCATATTTCCAGGAAATTTTGCAGAGAATGTATAAAAACATTTTTGATACAATTCCATTTGTGCAAGTCCCTAGATGCAACTCTTACCAGTTAAAATGCATTTTTTCCAAAAACTTTGTTTCCACACATGTTAAAACTTAGGTTTTTGGCATACCTTGAATATAGAAATGAACAGTTTGTCAGCGCAACTCCTCATAAACCGCTGCACAGAATTTCGTCAAACTTTGCAGGTGTTTAGGACACAATGTGTAAATGTGCATATTACCAGGAAATTCCGATTCCTTTATTTTTTCCAGGAATTTCCACACTTTTTAACTTAGATTTTTGGCTATACCTTGAATATAATGATGAACAGTTTGTCAGCGCAACTCCTCATAAACCGCTGCACAGAATTTTGTCAAACTTTGCATATATTTAGGACACAGTGTGTAGATGTGCATTTTACCAGGAAATTCCGATTCCTTTATTTTTCTGGGAATTTTGGCACTTTTCAAATTAGATTTTTGGCCATACCTTGAATCAACAGATGAACATTTTGTCAGTGCGACCCCTCATAAACCGCTGCACAGAATTTCGTCAGACTTGGCAGATATTTAGGACACAATGTATAGATGTGCATTTTACCAGGAAATTCCGAATCCTTTATTTTTCTGGGAATTTCTGCACTTTACAACTTAGATTTTTTGGGATATCTTGAATATAGTGATTAACAGTTTGTCAACTCCTCATAAACCGCTGCACAGAATTTCATCAAACTTTGCAGATATTTAGGACACAATGTGTAGATGTGCATATTACTGGAAAATTCTGATTCTTTCATTTTTTCCGAGATTTTCAGCACTTTGAGTTTTCGGGGAGCGTGGGGTATGTGAGCTTGCTCACTTTTTCTTCCATTCTATTTTGTCTAGATAAAAAAAAAAGAAATTCAGTAATACAGATTCATATACAGGTACATGTATTAATAAATAGATTGACAGTGTGACTTCATGTAATTGCATGGATTTTTTATGACTAATTTGACCAAGCAGGTTAAAGAGACATAGGAAAAAAAGTTTAAAATTGAACTTCATGTACTAAATGGAGTACTAGAAGGATTGATTGTATGTTGTTTAACGTCCCTCTTGAGAATTTTTCACTCATATGGAGACGCCACCACTTGCCTGTGGAGAGCTGCAAATTTTGACCTATACTCGGGTCATTGAGCAGTGAGGGATCTTTTTAGTGCCATCACCTACTGTGACAAGGGACCTCAGTTTATATGGACTCATCCAAAGGAGCGGTACCTGAGTCCCACAGTGGGATTAGTACTACAGAATGTAAACCACAACAGTTTTAGAGAAATTCATTTAAAATATTTTTATGCAAAATTTCAAGTAAAACAACATCAAGACAGTATTTTTGTTTCCAACTAATTGAAACCCACAAATGTAAAATATATAAATACATGTTTATATAACAAATAACGTAAAACACTTTGTGTCAAAAGAGTGCATATAATTCAATACTGATCGATATTATTAATCAATTATGCATTTCATCAATGGTAAATTTGTACATCTTTAATACATACAAATACAAAAGATTAAAGGCATCTAGAAACATGAGAAATGAACAAGAAATTAATAAAATTCACACAGTCACATGAGCAGTGACATGACAAATTAAAAAGAAAATTCACCACTTTGGGTTTTCCTTTCAAGCATTCTATAAGCAATGAAATACATTACAAAACTATTATATCAAAATATCACAGAGAGAAAAATATTTGAACAAAATGCGTTTGTGAATCACTGATGTCCCTGCATGGAACCATTGTAATTAAGGTTTAAGTTTTTCAAAGCAGGTCAAATGTCATGAAGTAAAAAAAAAAATGTTACTCAAAGAAAAGAAAAATTATCACAAGGAATATACAGGTGAAATACAAAAATTTGAGTATTACCCATTCTAAAGTTGGGTTTTTTTGTTTGTTTTTTTTTTTTCAAAAACAGAAAATGGTACCCAAAGAAAGTTGTCACAACGTATGCATATGGGAAATGTAAAAGTCACAGCATCAAATGTTCAAAAGTCAGAACAAAGTTAAAATTTTGCTTAAGTGTTTCCAAAATAAATAAAACTCCAAGGTTAGCTTATGCAATAAAAAAATGTTGGTACCCAAAGAAAGTTGGTCTTGTCACAAGGAATACACATGAAATATTTAAACCCTAGGACCAAGCATTCAAAAGTTAACATTTTTGTGGAAAACAGACAGACAGACACCAAAATCTATACAAGTATTCCCCGAAACCTCCAATTATATAGTCATATTATAAAAAATAATAACCCAAACCTTCAAATGCCAGTAAATGCTGCCTGCATTCCTAGAAGTATATATTTAGGAGTTTCAATCACTTATAATGATAAGTTACTTCTTGTCCCACCTCAATGAACACATTTAATTGATTTTGAATCCATGATATGTAAAAAAGGCTTATCAAATTCCATAAATATTATCTGCAGTGACAAAATTTTCTGAGATCAGGGTACTGCTTCATCACACAAGCAGATTGGTTGCCATAGTGATCTAATCTACTAATACTGCGGAAAACTTCATATTTGTTGTCCTTCAAGTTCTTAGTCACTGTGCCCTCGTATTGTGCATAGTTTGGAAGTGTTTCCATGGTGATTTGGTAATGTGCAACATCTACATTTATTTCTGAACTAAAGTTGGCCACTCTCTGATCAGCATCCACCGTTTTCATAAATTTCAAAACCTGAAATAGAAGACTTGTTTTACTTCAGCAGCAAATCAAGTATTTAATTAAGAGGCAGTGTAAATGTAGCAAAGTAAATACAAGCTTTGAGCCATATCTATAAGCCAGTATAGAGCGTTAAATTATTTAAGAAGGCGGCGGAGAGTTGAAATGGATGAATCTCTATAGGAGCCTCCAAAATGATTCCTGAAAAACAAGGTGAAAAAAAATTAAGGAACAAGTTCAGATTAATAGCAAAAATAAAATTGGCTTGTGATTGCAATAAAAATGACTAGTGATTAATAAAACTTATAATGATTGAATTTTTTAAAGAGTTTTAACAAAACTCTTTAGCCTTTTTGTAAAAATTGTATGTTTTGTGGTAGCTGTCAAAAAAAGAAGAGCTGAAGCCACCAAACATCTTAGCAATGGCTAAGTCATACTCTGAGTGACCATAAAAACTGGCAGGGTCAAATATTACTGTCAGAAAAATAGAAATACAGAATTAATCAACTTAAAATGCACAATTTTTTACAGAAGTCCTTTTAACAAAACTCTTTAGCTTTTTTGTAAGAATTGTATGTTTTGTGTTAGATTTTTCCTGTTAATCCCATATAAAACTTAGTTCGCCCATTGCGGCCCTTCATTATTTGAATTAACTTGAATCTGCACTAAGAAATAAACATTAAGTTGCACCTCTTCTGGTCCCATGGTTTTTGAACAAACTTGAATCTACACTACCTGAGGATGCATCCATATAAATATGAGCAATAATTTATTATGGCTTTGCTATTCTTGAGAAGAAGATTTTTAAAGAGTTTTCCTATATATTTCTATATAAAACTTTGGTCAGCCATTATGGCCCCGCCCTACCCCCGGGGGTCATGATTTGAACAAACTTGAATCTACACTACCTGAGGATGCTTCCGTATAAATATGAGCAATTATAGCTTTGCTGTTCTTGAGAAGAAGATTTTTAAAGAATTTTCCTATATATTTCTATATAAAACTTTGGTCGGCCATTGTGGCCCCGCCCTACCCCCGGGGGTCACTTTAAAATTTAACATCAAGCAGAGTAATACGTTTTTGACGTAATAAATTGTGATTAGGCAAGTTATGCAAAATGGATAAAACCGTTTAACCAATTTTCCTATATATTTCTATAAAATAAAATTTTAATCAGGGCATAGAGTGTTTTGAAGCTTAAGAACTTTTACTTTGCAGAAACATCTTTAACAAGCATCATTATTTCTAGAGACCACTTACTGGAAAAATGTTTAAACTTTCTTTCATTGATGTTGTTTGAATCAAATAAAAATATTTCATTACATAGCTAATGAATAGTCTCTAATAAAACACTGCCAAAAATCCAGAGAATTTTAACGTTCAATATCTTGACGTTTTATTGAACGCTAACTTTGTATAACGTATATGAGTATGCCTGAAACATTCCGAATACGAGCGTTCGATATCGAACGCCCCGTTGTAAACAAAAAAAGACGTCTGGTCAAATTCTCAGAGCTAAATTAAAGAAAGGAAGTGGCATCTAGGTAAGATGAGTTCATTTTTCACACAAAAATGAAATTATTTATTAAAATATAGAATGTATTAGACCCATTAAAACCTGAATAAGCAAATCATATCGCTCGGAAGGGTCATTGGAATGATGCGATACTGAACACATTATTTATTTTAATAAATAATTTCATTTTTTGTTTGAATACTGTAGACGTACTTTTTTCCACGGGGTCATAATTCTGCGGAATCTCAATTTCTGTTTAATCTGCGGGTAGAAAATTACGCGGATTTCTTAGACTGTCACTATATGCCTTACATTTATATTAAGTACGCTTGGACAAATTTCCGCGGAAAGTTTGTGACCGCGTACATAGCGTAAATTAATACCACACGGAAAAAAGTACTTCTACAGTAATTATTATGCTAGTCAATAATTTTTCCCAATGTAATCATGATAATTTGTGATGCCATATATTTAAATATTTTATCATGATTCCTTACCTTTTCATTAGGACTTATTAAATTTGCAGATTTTATTTTATGAATTGACAGCTCATGACATGAGTCCCTCAATGGAAGAGTCAGATCATTGATAAAACGAAGAAGTTGGTCCTCCATGGTTTTTATATTATCACTGTTTGGGTCCACCTTACTCTGCACTAAACATGAACACCAATGGAGGTCAATATGAGCAGACGCACAATTCCGATTGGCTGGAATCTCCTGAAGGAGGCTGATTCCTCTGCTCGGTGTCACAGGTTTATACAACCTTGAGGA